GAACCTCGCCGGTGCCTTTGCCCGTGTGCATCCCTCTAGCCCCGTTGCCTTGGCAACCGCACCCCCGCCCGGCCCCGCCGCTCACCTGTCCACCGCGATGGCCGTCATGGAGTAGATGCCGGCGAACACGGCGGTGATGGGGAAGAAGTTCTGGAAGCGGCAGTAGCCGGCGCCGAAGTACCACTCGCCGTGCAGCGCGTAGAGGAAGTTGACGAGCGTGTTGAAGGCGGCCGTGGAGGCGTCGGAGAAAGCCAGGTTCACGAGGAAGCAGTTGGTGACGGTCCTCATGCGCTTGTGCGCCAGCACGATCCAGATGACCACGAGGTTGCCGAGAACCGCCACGGCCACCACCGCGCCGTACGCCAGCGCCCAGAGCGCGCTGCGCCAGGACGGCTGCGCGAACTGGTTGGTGAGGTTGGCGGCGGCCGGGCCCGGCGCCGGGGAGGCGGCGGCGGCCAGGTCGCCGGCCGGGGACAGCAGCCGCAGCCACCCGGCCCCGGCCGCGAGCGCCGCGCTCAGGTTCCGGGCGCCGCCGGGGGTCCCGTCCTCGCGGGCGGCGGGAGCGGCCATGGTCGGGGGCCGCGGCGCCGCGCGCTCTGCCGCCCCCTGGAGCGGGAGAGGACGCGCCGCAGCCCGCGCCGGCCGAGGCGCGCCGGGTCCGCCGGGGGCGGAGCGAGAGCCGCGCTCGCCCCGGGAAGAATCGGACGGTCCGGCGGGGAGAGGGGAGGTCGACCCCGGAGCGCGGGCCGGAGGACTGAGCATCCCGCGCCGCGGCGCGCTTTATAGTCCCCCGGAGCCCCCGCGGGGTGACGTCGCGGGGCCGCGGGGCTGGCGCCCCCTGGCGGCGATCTGCGCGCTCGCCCCGCGTCCCGCGCCCGGGTTTCATTCATTCGGGGCCCGTCGCCCGGCAGCCAGGCCGGGGCTGCGCCTGCTCGGCGGCCCTTGAAACCCGTCCAGGGTTGTCTTCCGCCTTCCGACTTCAGGACGTTTTGCTGCGGTTCCTGCTCCCAGACGCGTACAGTGGGCTGTGCTTTGTCCCAGGCGGTTTTCCGGAGAGCGCTGCGGGTGGTGGGCACCGCGAGCCTCACGTGCAGGAGTCACTGGATTCTGGAATTTCGTTCAGCTTGCTGCTCCCGCGTTTGCATTTTCACGTCTCAGACCCCTTTTCCTCCCGCTCCCACTTTCGAGGTCCGCGCATCCCTATCCCCAGTCCGTCCTCTGGCCCCCAGCCCCTGCAGGCTTGCAGAGCCCGCGATGCATTTCTCCTGGGGAATTCTGCCCAGGATGGAACCTCACGACACACTGGGTAAATCAGGAATTCTGAGGTGTGAGGTTTCTTGGAACAGGGTGACAAGACTTAGATCTCTACGTTTTCCCGGGTTGGGTGTATCCTGTGAGCACTGTAAATACACAGACTGGGTTGTAGGATTCCAGACACTTGGTGCCTTGGTTTTCAGGGCCTGACAGAAGGACACAATGATGAGGATGTGCTAACTAAAGAAATTGCTTTGGTTTCCTGGGCAAATGGTTGGACCCGGCTTCCGAGCTTTGCTTGGGAGCAGGTGGGCTAGAGAATTGGGCCAAGTGCAAGCTGGAAGGACGTAGCTTGCTTGTGCTTAGATCAAAATTAATCAGGAGGTTCTAGAGCCAAAACGCTCCTTTATTAGTGTTTTGGAGGCAGATGTATAAATTTAAGGTTAAGCCTATTTATAGCAACCTCCTGAATATACTCGAACTATCTGAACCTCTGTTTACTCATTTGAAAATGAAGATTAAAAGAAATCTAATTTACAGTGTAAGTAAGTAGTTTCAACAGACTTCCTTCAACAAGCAGGCAGGAGGAAGATCTCAAAAAATGTTAGCACTCTTCCCTCTAGTTATCACTGTGCGTTACAGCTAAACATTTTCAGGTGAAATGAATCCGAGCAGCAAGTTGTATCAAGAGAAGGTAGCTTGTGATTTGTAGACATTCGGCATTCTTTGGTTTTCCAGTTCAGAACATATTCTTCAAAAACCCTGCTGTGATTATTACACAAATGAACTTTAGGAGACCATTAATGAATAGTGTTTTCCTTCTAACAGTTTTTATGTCTAAATAGATAGTGTGTAGTAAAAATTTTAAGCAACGTGATAGTCATTATTACAGCCTTGACAAAAACCTGCTTCAAAATAAATGCATGCTTTACATGACAGTCATCAAATGTTATTTTTCCTATTTCTTCCCAGAGAGGCCTGTGAAAATATGTAATACATCGTAAGTAAAGTCAATCAAATTTCACAATTGCTGCTTACTAATTTTAAACTAAACCGTTTTCTTTTGAAAGGTTACTTCCTTCT